CCTTTGAAACTTCTTAAATGCATCCCCATGTTAATGATTACATGCAAGCAGGAAGGATTAGTCTTTAAACATAGTTACTTTTCTCAAATGCTAAACAAAGTGTGTTCTGAGTGGCCTGGTTGGCAATATTAATTTAATTAAACTCCAGAAAACACATCACCAGGGTTTTCTCTGTCAGCCATCCCCAAGCAGTAAGAACAGAGCAGCACCTGCTCCAGGTGCAGAATGTTCTGGGACAGCCATTTGGTATATTCCCCACAAATATGGGACACAAATTGAAAGAAAAATATCCCAAATTCCTTCCCATAGCATACCACAGATCTAGAGTGGGAATCACAGGGAATTTGAATGACTTAATAATAATGTAGCTACTTTAAGTTTGAAGATGAAATCATGGCTTTGCTTAGACAATTTGAAATATTGAGGAAATATGAAAAGATATCATGGTACATTAGGTTGATATGAAATTGCAGGTTTTTTAGGTCAAAATGGTCAACTGCTGACATGTCCATAAGTTTCAACCTAGTGAAGAGGCTGTGAAAGTACATGGATATCAACTTTAGTTTTGTTTTTAAGAATCACAAAGTCAGAAGGACTCTTGAAGAAAATGAAGTCCAACTCTCTCATTTTAAAACTTGTGTTAGTAAGATTAGGTGCCATTGAAAGTAATTGAAAATCCCCATATATCAATGGGATAATTGAGATGGTTGCTTATTTCACATTCCTATCCACAAGAGGAACAGCGCCTTCTAGTTCCACTCTGCAGGGCTCCAATTCCCCAGTGAACCTTACAGTCTGAGATGGCTTCTGGTGCTTCTGCTACTAAATAGACAGGATCTGGTAAGAGAAGAGGGCTTACAAGCCAGGCAGAGATCAGGTCCTGGAGGACTGTGGAAACCATACTATGAGGCTTGGATATTATCTTGCAGTCATCAAGAAGACATTTCAATATTAAGCAGAAGGAAGACATGATTGGGTTTGTATTTTAGCTAAATCACGTTGGCAATCCTTTGGACAGCTTAAGGAAACATGAGACATAGGACAGAGGGCTGATGCAGTAACTAGGCAAGGGCAAAGAGGTTAAATTAAACAGGAGGTGCAGCAGTGGAGGTAGTGAGTATGCCTGCCCTTTCTGAGAAGATAGATGAAAAGAAAAGATAGAGCTAATATGATACTCAAAAGATGATACCAGGTCAAGAGAATTTTGACTTCCTTTTGGCTGTGAGTGAGTAGGTATGAAACAATGAGTAGGCTTTTCTGTGAAATATCTACAGAAGAAGGAGCATCGTCATGGGAGAAGCAGGTTTCAGAGAAAAAAGGTAGAGGGAAGGCTCTGTGCAAAGGTAAATATTCACAACTGAAAAAGAGTTGGTTGTGTATAGTTAAAAGGGGTTGCAGAGATATAGGCTAAGAAATAAAGTCTCATAAGGTGGTAAGATTTTTGGAGAAAGGTAATTCTGGGAGCTTTATTTTAATCTGAGTGATCAAGAATAATCGAGGTGGAAATGTGGTTCGAAGGGTCTGGTCTCAAGTATTCGAACTGGTGCAGGCCCTTTTCTGATCAGTATTGGCTCAGGAGTCCAAGCAGTGCCAGATGTGGTCAATAAGCCTGGTCCAATTCTGTGTAGAAGGTGTGTGACAGCTGCAGAGGACCATGATTAGTGCCAGAATGCTACAAGACACTCTGGGTTCCCTGGGAAAGGGGCAGGTATCTACTGCCCCTGTGGTAGTTATACAGATATGGCAGTTGCCATGACCTAACACTGGGTGCCCATGACCCCAGTACTCAGTGGGAAGGAGCCCAGCAGATCCTGTGGGATTTCTTGGTCAGCAACTCAAGTTCTGGAGGAGCAGCTTCCTTATTCAACCCAATGGCATTACTGCCATTACACTAATTTCTTATCATATGCCATGTCTTAATTTACAACTCTGTAAATTACATGTAAGATATAAGAATCCTATCTTTAGTAAACCTTAGTCACTTTATTCACCAGTCACTTTGTTATGGTTTAAAAAAAATAGAGAGAAACATTTTAACACCAGTGAATATTAAGAGTATATTTTTGGAAAAACTCTTCTTTAGAACACAGTCCCTTCTAAAGGCCATGCTATGTGTTTACAGGAGCTCTCCACAATGGGATATTATCGGGGGGAACTCGGAGATCATTTCTGCTCAAGTAATTTCTCCCACCACTCTCTTAATACAGACAACAGAAAGTGGACTGTGTTGTCAAACTTCAGAGGTAGATAAAGATAGGTGATGAATACAGAGATACATATACGCAAACAGACATAAATATAGGAAGAGAAAGAGTAAGAGTGAGCAAGATAGGGGAAAAAACGGTATATAGAGGGATTCACTTTACATAGGGAAGTCAAAAACTCTTTGAAGAGTTGCCTTTGGGGATGAGTGAAGAACATGTAGAAGTCTGGGGGTGAGATAACTGAGTGGTTAGAGGTACTGAAAATAGCTTGCCACTTCAGCATAGTAGCTAAAGGGTAAAATGGCGAGAGAGAGCAGTGGAGATATAACCTCCCAAATAGTTTGCTAAAATCACCTCAGCTTTCCCATCACTATCGCTACAAAATAAAATTGGTAAAATTTAATTTAAATTATGTAGATAACTAACCTTTATGTTTTCCTTTTTATTAAAATAATTTTATAATAGATTAGTAATATACTTGGAAACCAATTCTATGATGTCATTTCCTAAACAACTTCCAAATGCCTTTATCATAAAAGGTCCACATTAAGTAAACCACTTTCATCAGTTCAAGGTCAAAGCTGTTTATCATGGCAAAATTACAATTAATTGTGAGTCAAAAGGAAGATTGTTTCACACACAAAATTGAAGGAAACATTTATAGCATTAATAATCACTTTTATGTACTTATTTACTTACAAAAGTATCCATCTCAAAGTTGTCTGAATTTTGGAAAGTTCTATGATTTCATGCGCAGTAAAATTTATGTACAATACAAATTAAACAGGCTTTTTTATTATTCCACTGTTGATTGATTTGATATGAGGTAACCGTTCTGATTTAATTGCCTTACTCTGAAAAATCCCTTGGGGGAAAGCAATCCCGTGTCTACTCAACACAAGCAACGAAAAAACTACAAATAGACATTTCAATTTGTTGAAATGTGATTAGCTGACTCTGTGAGGCCTTTTGCTGAAGTCTGAAAATACTAAGTTCAAAAACTTCACAAGAATTTAAATATCACTCTAAAATTTACCAGGATGTTGACAAAACATGCCCCTAATAAATATCTTGCTGTCTCTAAGAAAGATTGGCATCATCTTATGGGAAGGTTAACTTTGTAGCCACCTCTCTTAAAGAAGTGAGTTTCATATAACAATGCATTTGGAAATTTTCTACTAAAAGAATAGCATGGAGGAAAAAACTTGGGGAGGGGGATAATGGGAGGAGGTCACCTCACAAAGTTTTCTTAGCAGATTAAGGAATTTTTGCCTGATTTGACTCTTAATTTCAACCTTCTGTGGTATTGTCCTTACTCCATATTTTGCACTTTAAGTGAACATGGTTGATGAGTCCTAGGTCTGAAGCCTATGAATTAAGAACTAATCAGTTCATCTTTAGGTTCTCCCCAGCAAGCTCCCAGTGTATGATGTTCACAGGGACACCTGGACAGACCCCACAACGTGCTCCCCACCAGTGGCATACTACTCCCCAAGACATGCTAGCAGGGCAACCCTTCAGAAAACCTAGTAAGAAGTTAGCAGACCCAGAGGAAGAGACATGTGGGGCCCACAACTTCTCTTATTAACTACTGACAATCACTCTTTTGCTCCATATCTTTTGCAATGAGTACTGGCAACAATCTATGAATTAAATATTTGCTACAACTTTGTAATCTAACAGAAGCCACTAGGGTTTCTCAGGTGAGTATAATTAGAATATATCTATTCCTTCCCATTTGTTCTCTACGATCTCCTGAGAAATGCCACAACTGCTAGACAAGAGGACATATAGGAGTACAAGAAAATCAGAGACCTCAACACTGGAACTATTTCATTTCGGATTGTTACTCATGGTTGGCAGAATATTTCTGCTTTCAGTCTAACAATGACAATATGTATACAATAAAATAATTTGTATTCAAAGGCATTTTCCTCTCTCAAGTTAAACAAGTAGATACATTAGAAAGACAGGCCCTGTCTTTCAAATAAGTAAAGGATCAATTTTACTGGGATATTTTCCAGAAAAGCAAGATTGGGCTGTACCCCACAGCCAAGTGGCAGTTGTCAGTCTCTCTGTTTGGGAGGATTACTCTTTAACTAGCTTAAAAATTGCCAGTGCCTTTCCTCAGATTCCACTGAAAGCCTACACCCCTAACCCCCAAGAATGAATGGTGAGAAAAAGAAAAAGAAAAAAAAACCTTCCAAGTTCCCCTTGTTTTCAGTAACATCACCAAAAACTTAAAGATATTTTCTTGCCTCCCTTCTGGTATCAGAGCAAAAGGATTGACAACCAAGAGAGACTCTGCCCTAAAAGCAAGCTCCTCATTTTCCTGTACCCCTTAAAACAATGGTCTGAATAACACACCTGCTAATTCTTGAAGCTCCTCCAAGTTCCCCTAGAGCTATCTCCTTGAAGAGCTTAAGTTTCCCTTGGTGTAATGCTCACCACCCAAAAGATCCTTTGCGTAGCGTGCACAACTTATTTTTAGACCTTGATGATTCACACTGCGGTCTCTCAAAGGGGCTGTGAACCCAAAAGACAGCAACACCTGAAAATTAGAACTCCGACGTCAATCAGAGCACAGTTCTGCAACGTGCCTGGCCAGGACCCTCCAAGAGGGACTGCGCGCCCCAACCCCAGGAGTCAATAGGCGGTCAGCCCAGTCGTTGTTATGGCCACACTGTATGTTTGCAAAACGCAAGCAGTCGGGAGCCAATCAGAGGCCTGCCGAGGCGTTGCTATGGCAACTCTGAGTGTTAGGGCAGCGCAGGCGCGGGACTGTGGAGACCCGGCTAGCTGCCCTAAGCCTCGGGCTCCCGAGAGTCCCGGCAGCCACGGGCTCCTACACACTCCCGCAGCCGGATACCCTGAGCGCCCGGCATGAACCGCAAGAAGCTGCAGAAGTTGACCGACACCTTAACTAAAAATTGCAAGCATTGTAAGTAAGAATCGAGTGCGGGACGAGCAGAGGCTCCTAGCCCAGGTCTCCTCTCGTGTCCTACCCAGTGCCACTGTCCGCTGCCCGACCTGCTTCCCGCCTCCAAACTTTGTGCCAGTGGAGCAACTTCCACCCCCACCGCTAAAGAGAAGTCTAGAAAGGAATACCGGTGTTAGCTCCTTGGGGTGAACACCCACGCCTGCCAATGATCTTAAGGATCCGTGTTCAGGTGTCCAGGTATCTAGTACTACACTCATACAAGTACCCTTATTTGCTTCTCAAACTCTTTTCTTAATTTATCTTTACATCATAGAAACTTGATTTATATATCCATGAGACACATGTGGTTTTAGCCTCGGACACAGGTGTAAAGTAAGTACTAAAAACCATGGACTCAAGAAAAATAACACAACCAACATACACCTGCTTCTTAGCTCTCTAGAGCAAATAAACTGGCAGGGGCTAAGTTCTGGGAATTTACCAAAAGATCCATAGGGAGAAATGGTTATCAATGGCTGAACATCCTTGGGGAAAAAATATAAATAAATAAATAAACTTGTATCAGAGCAAGGAAATTTGTTTGGAAACCAAAGAGCTTACCAAAGCTAAACACATGGTAAAGAATCTGTTCCCAACTTTAGACTTCCACTTTCCAGTTGCTGCTACAATGTTTTAATGTAGTTCTAGAGATTACAGGATCCTAGTGCCTTCTTATCATATTTAGTATCCAATGCAGTGAGTAGTAAGAAATGCTTAGTGGAATGGTGCTGCAAATAAAAAGTTATGATGTGTGTAAGTAAGAATGTTAAACTTCTTAGAAAAAAAAGGCATCTATAATTGAAGGCACTAATATGGTTATTATAATCTGATGAGAGTTTTGTTCTATTGTTTTTCCTAAAATGCTTTCATTTCTGGGAAAAGACCAGGCCTTAAAACATCTAGTAAACATTTTGAATAAACAATGTAGTAACTGCTATACACAATGCTGAATTTAATTTAGACCCTTTTCAGTAAATTTACAACGTATTGCAAACATTCTCTGAACAATCAAAAGATGAGTGTATTAAAAGATAAGTGTAAATATAGCAGGAAAAACAGTCAACTATTTTGCTTTATGTACCTACATAAAAAATTTTAAGTGATCCCTAAAAACTGATTACTGGTTAGATTCTGTACAAAAAAGTTACAAGTCGTGGACATTATACTAATTTTAAATGTCTTTAAACAGAGTACCTTTCCCCTTAAGTTATATTTCTTTTTAGTTGCCAGATGATAATCCCACCAAGATAAAATGGATAAATTTTGTAGAATCAGAGAAGAAATTATTTTACATGATCGTCTAGTTAATCCACCATTCTACAGATATGATCTAAAGAACAAACTGAAACATATCCAAAAAGATGAAAAGCCATTCTTGACTCTCCATTAATTTCATTTAGTATTCTAGAATTTAAGAAAATTTCAGCAAGAAAAATTTTTGTGTAGTTAATCTTGGATCCTTTGGGTAATACACTGATCTAATATTCTTTAATTTTTATTTCAGCCAAGATGAAAAAATGACTATTCAGCATCCCATTTGTTAGCGTTTTATATATGTGAACAGTGTGCATCATTCTTCATACAGGCTTTTCTTCCCCAACTACTAACAGCTCTTTTTACTTTTAGAGCGTTTTAATTGTGGTTAAATACACAACATAAAATTTGCTGTTTTAACCATTTTAAGTGCACATTCACATTATTGTGCAACTGTTACCATCATCCACCTTCAGAACTTTTTCATGTTTCCAAGTGAAACTATAACTCCCCATTTCTCCCTTCCTCCAACCCCTGGCAACCACCATTTTACTTTCTGTCTCTGAATTTCACCACTCTAGATACATCATATAAGTGAAATTATTCAATATTTGTCTTTTTTTTTTTTTTTTTGGTCTGGCTTATTACACTTCATTGTAATGTCTTCAGGTTTCATCCATATTGTAGCATGTATCAAAATCTCCTTCTTAATATTGAATAATATTTCATTGTATGTATATACCACATTTTGTTTATCTTTCAATGGACACTTGGGTTGCTTCCACCTTTTGGCTACTGTGAATAATGTTGTTATGAACTTTAGTATAGAAGTATATGAGTCCTTACTTTCAATTCTTTTGGGTATATAATCAGAAATGAAATCACTGAATTACATAGTATTTCTGTTTAATGTCTTGAAGAATGTACATATCATTCTCTATAGCAACTAACAGCTCTTTTAAAAATTATAATCATTATACGCTTGTCTACAATTTAATCAATTTATTTACTAAATCATTTATTTTCTGAAGTCTTCAATATTCCTCTTTCTGGTAGCCCAAACCAGAAATCACATTCAAGCCTGTCCTGACCTGTAAGATTAGATGTGATTTCTTTATTCCTATGTTCTGTTTTCTTTTACATGCACACAGACTGCATCCTTGTTTTTAAAAATATTCAACCATAATTTTGTCTTGTTTTAAAATAAAATCATCCCCATCTTTTATCTGTAATTCATTATTAAACTCACTTTAATGTTCTTAATGCTGGGCAGTAACTCTTCTACTTACACCAAATAGGGATTGGAACATAAATACTTAGCTCAGTGTTTATGCAATTATGTGTGTGGGCAAATGTGCATGTGTGCGTATATCCTTTCAATAAAAATTTCCTTCTTCTAAAGTACTACCGAATAGTTGCATATTAATTTACACTTCATCTGCAACAAGAACCACAATGGGTTCTGGAATATGTTTAAATTCTCTGTTATTGGAAAATATATGATTCTGGTTTACAAAATCTGGATTATAATTTCATTAAGGTAATGTGAGATGAAAATTATTGCCCAGTTTTCGGGATCCTGGTATTTATTTCCAGGCAAAAGTTAATATATAAATCTCATGAATGCCTATAATCAAAATGCTGGGGGAAAAGATACTGTTCTTAAACACTACCATGCTTACCTTGAATCATACTTTATTGCCTTGTAAAATTTAAAATCTGATCCATAACGATTATTCAGGTAAATTGGTTAATATTATCTTCCTATTTTCTAAGCATGACTGAACTTGTATCTGTTTAATATTTGAGGGAGGGCTTTATTTTTTCATTTTAGTGGAGAATTCTTTGTAGTAGTCATTCTCTATTAACTTAAGAGTCATGTGTCTCAGAAAGGAAAGTCTTCTATTGACAACTACATGTCTGAGGTCTTCGATAAGGTTTATCTAAAAACTCATTAATTTAAAAAATATAATAAAATAAAAACTCATTAATGTAAAATTTAAGTTAGAAAGTAAAGATTAAAAAACATTTTTGTTATATCTTAATTTTATTCTTCCACAGTTAATAAATTTGAAGTGAAATGTCTTATAAATCTTTTTTATAATTTGGTGGGAGATGTAACAGAGCGGCAAGGTGTGGTCATTGGACTGGATCGTAATGCATTTCGAAACATCTTGCATGTAACATTTGGAATGACAGATGACATGATTATGGACAGAGGTAAGAAAATATACAGTGTTTGAGCCAAATTTAGCCATAACTGAAAAAAAAATTGGAATTTGGACATACACTTTGTAAGAGCTTAATGTTCTATATTCCCAATTTCACTTAAATATAAAATTTTATATTTATGTTCAAGAGAAGGATAGAGAAGGAAATAGTATCCACTCTATTTAAGAAGAGGACAAATTTAGCTTGGATAATTAGGTTTCCTTCACACAGAGAACCCAAAATATTTCTATTTTTACTCAGTAAATATAATAATGAAAAGAATAAAAAAAGGACATTTAAGTTTTCTTACATCATTGGAAGTATCTCAATAAAAATTAAGATAGTTCTATCTATCATGTAAGGACATTACTTTTTTAAGTAACTAAAATATAAAATTATATATTTTATGTTGAATTATCAATATATTCAATATACTAATATATTCATATGTCAGTAAGTTATTGAATAATATATTTAGATATTCAGAATTTACTTTGTTCCCACAAGTTATGAAGGGAAAGTGTGAAGTTTAAATAAAAGACTGTTCCTTTGCTACAATATCTTAGTGTCCTTTGGCAAATAGAATGTTAGTTTATATAATACTGAAGTTTTGTTGAAATTTTAAAAGTGAATAGTAGCAACGTAGATACATTACTGAGAATAAAAATGCAGCACAAGTATTATACTTCTCTCTTTTTAGTATTTCGAGGTTTTGATAAAGACAACGATGGTTGTGTGAATGTATCAGAATGGATTGTTGGATTATCATTGTTTCTTCGAGGAACTTTGGAAGAAAAAATGAAATGTAAGATATGTTATCTGATTGGTTTGTACATTATAATTAACATATCTAAAGAATTTAAGTCAGTGTCTTCCAACCCAGCCACTGAAGTAGGTTTTCTATTGCTCAGTGGGTTTGAATCCCCATTAGCCTCTTTTATGTAGCAAATTCAAGTCAATGATAAAGGTTGAAAAAATTAATGAAAAGGAAAAATCAAGATATTTTGAAAAGTAATTCGTGCCAGTAAGACTGCATAGGCATATACTACAGATGCTAATTATGTACATATGTATTTATGTATTAAGGTATTAAGTAATTTACATATGTCATTATCTGAATTGTAACCACAAAAATAGAGAACATTGATTCAAGTATTCTGATTCTTAGTTAATTCTTAATTCTGATGAACTCTGTTTAAGTCATATTTCAAGCAGTTTTCCAATTTTTTAAAGATGAAAATGTTTAAATTATGGTTTCTTGGCATGCTTTTCCATTGCTGAGTGTAATGAAACTTTTTCTAAGGATTTTTGAATATATTCAACAAGTATACATTAAGCATTTATTATGGAAATTAGATTTTGCTAAGGCCTTTGGGATTGATAAGAACACCAACAAACCTTGGCCTTGAAAACTTTATCAGATCAAATGTTTCCCTAACAATAGTATTAAATTCATAATTCGCTATTTTTTTTAAAAGATTGTTTTGAAGTGTTTGATTTGAATGGTGATGGATTCATTTCAAAGGAGGAAATGTTCCACATGTTGAAGAACAGCCTTCTCAAACAGCCATCTGAAGAAGACCCTGATGAAGGAATTAAAGATCTGGTTGAGATAACACTTAAGAAAATGGTAAATATGGACAATTTAGAGCTTTATATTGAAATTTACAAGCCAGATGTGGGATACTAATAAGAATTCAGATTATCATAACTATAAGTTTCCTGCTTGGTAAAATCAAACACTTAGATTGTATTCTTTTATTATAATAGTAAACATTCTATTCAATTTCACTGTTTAGTTTTTTTTTTTAATTTTTATAACATCTTTTTAAAATTTAATTAACACTTGATCATGAAAAAGCAGTTGTGTTTGTGATAAGTATTTTACATGTTGACTGACACATGGCTGGTCACCCCCCTGATCCACCCCCAGGATCATGACCATGATGGGAAGCTGTCCTTCTCAGACTATGAACAAGCCGTAAGAGAAGAGACTCTTCTACTGGAAGCTTTTGGACCATGTCTACCTGATCCAAAGGTAAAGAAAGATATTACTTTCACTGGACAATGATCAAAATATAATGTAGGATCAATAATCCAGTACTTGTTGTGCTGGATCCATGAGTGATGGATCAAATGAATCACATTCACCCACAGAGAATAGCTTCTAAATAGAGAAAACTCACTGAAGAAGAACGCGATGGTTCATTTTATAGTACTATAGTAGCCCATTCTACATTTTTATTAATTATCTCATTTATTTATGTAAGAAACAATTATTGAAACTTAACATGTGCCAGAAGCACAGATGAAAGGCTCAATGGCAACACTCAAGGGCTAATATTTTCCTGGGAAAAACCAGCATGAAAATAATTACTCAACAGTATGATAAGTATAATTATAATTATGGTAAATGACTTATATGATGCTTCATCTATGCCAGACAATGTCATAAGTGCAATGTCCCACATCACTTCATTTAATCCCTCTAACAACCCTATGAAGTAGGTAGTATTATTATACCCAATTTACAGATGATGAAACTGAGGCTTGGAGAGTTTAGGCAATTTGACCAAGTTCATGCGCCAATTATGGAATACCTTGGGTACCCTGGTGCCAAAGTCCATATGCATAGATATGCATAGAACATTGTGAAAGTCATGAAGAAGGCATCTAAGGCAGCTGTATGGAGTGACAGGTGAATGGCTGGTGGGACAGGAAGGCTTACCTGGGCTTTTAAGGACCCCATAGTCAGCTAGATCAATATATGGAAGAATAATTTAAGCAAAGGGAATGACATATATGAAAGAGAGAGAGGGAGAGGGAAGGAGGGAGGGAGGGAGAGACAGAGATGACAGAGACAGACAGAGACAGAAACACAGAGAGAGAGAGAGATGAATCTGTATTAGAAGAGCATTTGGTGTGGTATGAGATCGATGATAAGGTTGGAATTGCATAGAAAAGCCAAGTCCGATGGAGCTTGAAGCTTTGATTTTGTCTTGAAGGTAATGAGGATTGATTGGAAGATTTTTAGCAGGTAGAATGATGTGATATATAAATATTACAATATACCTCCCCACCACCACAGTCACTAGTCTGTATCTTCAGCTACCTACTCAATATGTCCATTAGATAATCTCAATAAATTTTTGATTTCCTCCCAATTTATCCCTCCTCCAGTCTTTCCTATCTCAATAAATGACACCCCCATAAATTCAGTTGTTCAGTCAAAAACCTAGGAATTACCCTTAATTTTTCTCTTATAGCTCCATTAGCTGGTCCTTCCAAATATATCCTTGAATATAACTTCTTTTCTACACAATTCTTGACCACCAACCAAAATTGAGCTGCTATCAACTGTCACCTAGCTCTCTTGCTTCCACTGTTGTCTCCTTGCTAACTCTTGTTCATAATATCTAGCATATTTAAAAACACAAATGCGATCATGCCTCTCCATTGCTTGAAACTCCCAAGTGGATTCTGACATCTGTACAGTGGTCCCTTTCTCTCTTTCTAACCATGTCTCTTACTATCTCCCAATCTCCCTCGCCTTTGGAGCTATCTCAGCCTCCTCTCTGTTCCTCTCTAGTTACCTTTGCACTTACTCTAACCTTTTGTTGTCTAGAACATCCTTTCCCCAGACCTTCACATGCCTCAGACTCTCACTTTATTTAAGTCTTTGCTCAAATGCCATTTCCTCATTATGCTCAAATGCCACTGACTAACCTAACTATTACCACCTCTCCATCCCCTGACCTTGCTTTTTAGTCATTTACTTATTGTCTGTCTCAGCATGTAGCTGTAAGCTTCCTGAAGGTGGGAACTTGGTCTTTTTACAACATTTTTCCCCATATGCTATGTGTAGCACATAATAGGTACCTGGTAAATGATGAGTGGATGGATGAATGAATGGTTGGATAAATCTCAGAAGTGCCTAATGGAGAGTTCTGGATCTTTCTCCTTCCATCTCCTCAAGAACTACTTCATCATTTACCTTTATCTTTACCCTACATCTTCACCCTCTTCCCTCACTATTTAAACCTTCTTTTCAGGATTTAAACAGATCTAAATCTGTCCCATTTTGAGAAGAAAAGGAAAAGGAAAGAAAGAGAGGGAGTAAAGGAAAAACGTAAAAAGAAGGGAAGGAGGGACAAAAAGTAGGCAAAGAGAGAAAAGGAAAAGGAGAAAACTTACCTTAATTCCATACCTACTTCTATTTTCTGCCCAATGGCTTTCTTTTTCACAGCCAAGTGTCTTAAAAGAATTGTCCATATTTACAACCTATACTACCATCACTTGTCTACTTCTGGAACTGCTCTTGCTGAGGTCACCGCACCCTCCTTGTTAATAAATCTCAAGTGTTCAACTTTTGGGTTCTTGCCTTACTAGACCACATTTCTTCCTCACCCCCAGATGTTGGTCCAGCTTTTCCTGCTCCAGGAAGCATCTTCACTACCTGCCACAGCCTGTCTGTGACATAATTAGTCCTCCAGGCCTCCCAAAATCTACTGTGTGTTTACTCTATTTCAAACCTTACTGCAATAAATTAAACTCACCAGTTTCTGACCAGTCCCAGTCACTAGGCTGGAGCCTCCTGGAGAGCTGGGTTATGTAGACTTACTTATCTTTGTAGCCCATACCAAGCATTGTGCTTGGAATATATTCAATAGTGTTGCCATCTGTTTGTGAAAAAAAATGTGTGGACATCACAAGTTCTTGATTTTCCCTCTTCATCAGTTATCTTATGTTTCTTCAAACATGAAGGGCACATACAGAATATTTTGTTTTCTTCTACTGTTTTTTGGAAGTTAGTACTAATTTGAACACTTTAATTTTACAGAGCCAGATGGAATTTGAAGCCCGAGTGTTCAAAGATCCAAATGAATTCAATGATATGTGAATACCTAAATGTCTGTGTTATCGCAAATGAGAAAAAAAGAGGTGTATATGTATTGTGTTTTTTCTACTTAGCTCAGGAAGATGATGTTGAATTGTATGTTTGGCATGGAGGATTGTGTTCACTTACATAATATCATTCAACGTTGGTGTAAAAACCAAGTAAAGTAGATGGAAGACAAGATGTTCCTTATTAGATGTTGCTGGATTTGGCAAGACAAGTTAACATTGCTAGAAATATTTTATACCTAGACAATCTCTTGAAGCATATAACTGTCGTAAAACTTTTGTAATTATGAAATGAATAGAGAGATTATATAATCATGAATTATTTTTCATGTCAGAAAAATGCTGAGCACAAATTTAAAAATCATTAAAACTACTGAATTTCCTTTGGAGCAGTAAATAATTAAGATAACATCAAATTATACTGGCGTTTAGCATTAAATACCTTTCTGCTAGATCCTGAGGGAGATTCAGGGAGATGAAAGTAACATATAACCTATTTTAACATGATCTATATTATTGTTTGAGGCTTTGCCATAACAACCTGACTGAATCGTGTCTGAGAGCAGGGGTCTCATCACACTCTTCGTTATCTCTGCCGTAGCAGTTACTACAGTCCTCTGCACAGAATGGGCACTCAATAAATACCATGTATAAAGTACCACAAGATAAATCCAAACTCTTGGTGAGCAGAGAAAGAGGAAAGTGTCATTTCTTGAGTTTAATGACTGATTTATGGGCACAGCTTTCAGTTTGTCTAGGGAATCATTCCTGATGCCCCACCACCACCATTGCAATCAGTTATGAAGCCTCCTCTCTGTTCTGGCTTCCTCTGTTTCTCCACCTCAACTCATTCTTTGTCTTCATATCTGGGTGTACCTCAGTGGTATCCCCCACTGCCTGGGAGTCCCTTCATGCACTCCCTTTTCAGGGATCATATCACACATGTGCCCCACCAGCCGTGAATTCCTGAAGACAGACCTGCTTTCCCCTCTGCCCTCCACTATCCAGCAGATGCCTATGGGCATTGAATGGAAACATGAGAAAGATGGGGTCTAGTCATGTTCTATGATCTACTGTCTGTAAATGCATGCAAGCAGCTGATATCTCTTCTGTAAATATATAAATATTTAAAGGCTACTTGAAAGGAGGGGTGGGGAGGTAGATGGAGTAAAAGGGGTCAAACATGTGGTGACAGGAAGAAATCTAATTATGGGCGGCGAACACATAATGCAGCTTACTGTTGAATCATATACTTGAAACTTATTGGATTTTGTTAATCAATGTTACCATAATTAAAAAAATTTTCAAAAAAAAGAACCTGTAAAAAATTAAAAAATAAAGGCTACTTGGATGTTAAATACTTTTTGTTAGTACATATACATTATTAAGATTAAGCAAAAGAATATGTTGTGTAAAAAAATAGACTTACAAATAAATAGAATAAGCAATCTTATAAAATAAATATTTTACTAAGTATTTTCTTAAAATTTTAGATTGTTATATCTCCTCAGGCAAAGAAAACAAAAAATAAATAAACAAATGGGACTGTATTAAACTAAAGAGTTCTGCACAGCAAAGAAAACCATCAAAAACCAAAAAGATGACCTACTGAATGGGAGAAGATATTTGCCTATGATACATCTGATAAGAGGTTAATATACAAAATTTATAAAGAACTCACGCAACTTAACACCAAACAAACAAACAATCCAATTTAAAAATGAGCAGCGGACCTGTACAGACATTTCTACAATGAGAACATATAGATAGCCAACAGATGTATGAAAAGATGCTCAGGGTCACTAATTATCAGAGAAATGTGAATTAAAACCACAGTGAGATATCACCTCACACCTATCAGAATGGCTATCATCAATAAATCAAAAAACAACTGTTGATGAGGATGTGGAGAAAAGGGAAGCCTCATGCACTTAGTTGGATTGCAAGTTGGTACAGCCACTATGGAAAACAGTTTGGAGGTCCCTCAAAAAATTAAAAACAGAACTACATAATGACCCAGAAGTTGTACTTCTGGGTATTTATACAAAAACAAAAATAAAAACAAAAACAAAAGCAAAAACAAAAGCAAAACACTATTTTGAAAAGATATATGCACTCCTATGTTCACTGCAGCACTATTTACAATAGTCAAGATATGGAAGCAACCTAAGTGCCCATCAATAAATGATTGAATAAAGAATAAAGATGTGGTACATATATACAATAGAGTATTAGCCATAAAAAATAAAATCTTACCATTTGAAATGACATGGATGGACCTAGAGGATATTATGCTAAGTAATAAGACAGAGAAAGACAAATACCATATAATTTCACTTATATGTGAAATCTAAGGAACAAAATAAACCAACAAATGAAAACAGACTCATAGATACAGAGAACAAACTGGTGATCACTAGAGGGGAAGGAGCTTGGGGAACTTGGCGAAAAGTTGAAGGGATTAAGAAGTACAAATTGGTAGTTACAAAATAGTCATGGAGTTGTGAGGTACAGCTTAAGGAATACAGTCAATAATACTATAATAACTATACATAGTACCAGGTGGGTGCTAGAGTAACTGGGGGAATCACTTCATAAATTATATAAATGTCTAATCACTGGGCTGTATACCTGAAACAAAAATTTTTTAAAAACTTAAAAAAAGACAATCCAAAGAAAAAGGGGGAATGTTTAGATTGTTATATAGATGGACTTTGACACAATTTTTCTACCTTAAGTGGATATAAATAATACAACCCACAGTATTTTTAATTGTATTTTTCTAATTACAAAGTAACAGAGGTTCACTGAAAATATTTAGAAATTTAGGCAATTAAACAAATTATTCATATATATTCTGGTATAGATTCAGGGTTTTTTTAAGGCATTTTGTAAGTATATCTATATTTATGCATAGAGTATACCTACATACTTTTAGGCAATCACATTGAATATTCTCTTTTGTAAATTGCTTTTGTTTTTGTTTTTTATGTACCACTGTCTCATGAACTTTTCTCAGGTCAGGAGATATTTGTCTACAGCCTCACTTATAATGGCTTCCTGGTGAACTATCACAACAGCCTTCATTAAACCATTTTCCTGCCATTGACATTTTGGTTGTTCCGACATTTTTGCTATTATAAATAATGTCCAAAATGAACTATCCTTTTCACATGCATCATTTGTTACTTACTTGGGTAAGTTTGTAAATATAAGAATGTTGGGTTAGAGGCCAGAATAATTGTGAGATTTCTAGCGCATGTTACGGCATTACCCTCCAGGAAGGCCTGCAGTGCCTGATGCATGAGAATGCCAATTCCTTTGCATATGGTGCACATTCTTTTAATTTCTTTGCCAATGTCTTGGAGCATAATGGACCATGATTTTCATTTATCATTTAAAGAACTAATCTTATACATCTGTACCTAAATTTTTTATTGTAGGTTGATTGAAAATTGACTTCCATGTGAATAACCCTGATTTATTACTTGATAGTATTTAAAACTAAAAAGTCTTTTTAAAAAATTCTAAATAATTTTAGTGAAACTTAAGATGATGTCGGTAATTGACCTTAAGAACTCTGAGCTCTGTTCAAGGGCTTCCTTGTATATTATAGAACACAACCCCTGAACTGTTTCTTATAATCTGCCCAAATCATTTCCTTCTGCTACTATACCTGGATTTCTGGAATCTCTTAATTTCACTACCGAAGCAATTTATAAATGATTTTAACACTGAAAATTCACTCAACTTAATAACAGAGTCATCCGAGTACACTGAGTACCTTTAAGAAAGAGCTTTCTTCTCCCTTAATCTGAGCTCTGCAGTCCCTTGCCTCCTGCTACCAGGCTTGTCCTGATACTTCCTCCCTCTAAGTACAGCCAACTTTGCTCAGCCTCATCTTTGACTGCCTCTGGGGTGGCCGGGTTAGGACTATGGATAAATAAATATAATTTGGAAAATTGACTATAGCCTTCTCACTGGCTTCTCAAAGCACTGGCTTCCCCTTCTCCCAGCACTCAGGGAGGATCAGCAGAAAGCCAGCCAGGTGCCTTTGGGAAATGTGAGCATTGCCCTGCAAGCAGCAAGGAGAGATTCTGTTAGGGAAAATGAGTACTTTAAAAAAAAAAAAAAACTACAGAATTTAAAAACTACCACTGAAAACTGGTAGCCCTGCATTCTTAACCTGCAAATATCTTTGCATACAAGATTGTGCTTGTAAAAAGCCAAGCCTGCAATTGCTTGCATCATAAAATCACTCAAAACATTCACTAAGTTTCTACTTTATGCTAAGCCATAAGGGTTAATATATTCTAGGTCAGTTGTCCTGCTTTCACCTTGTTCATGTTGTAAAATAAGGACTCTACCTCCATGCGACAGTACTATCATCATCTATCACTATTTGGATTCACTGTAACAATCCTTCTCCTGCCCTTCTTCTCCACACCCCTGCCCCCCGCCAAAAAAAAGTTATATTATTTTTAATTAAAGGAAATTGTTAAAGGGAATTAGAATATACTGTGAAACTATTAAGACAGCCATGTCTGGAAAAGGTTTCTCTGGCTGCTCCTTAGATTGTCCATTTTTCCTGACTTTATTTTATTTAACTGTATCCATTTCCTCGGAGAATCATTCCCTAACTCCTCCACAGAACCGATGGTTAATTCTCACCAAGTATGGCAAGAAAAGGTGAGAACTGCATTTGACATGGAGAGACTAAAAAAGGTACATAATGAAATAGAATTTTAACACATGCATACAATTTAACAAATTGAGAGGATTAGTTGGTAATATTTCAAAAAGAGTCAGAAGTTATGTATTTGTATTTTCTGGTTTAGTGGCCTCTTTTTATTAGAGGGAAGCAGATGATTTCAAAGTGTTTCCAGTCTCAGTTATCACTGAAGGAGGAGCCACCCTCATACAGGCCAAGTAAATCAAAGCCCCCTTCTCATGAGATGTATTGCAAGGAAACTTGTTCAGTACACAAGGGGGGGAGGGAGGGGGAAGGAAAGAAACCTAACAATAAAATATCCTGAGTGAGACAAAGCATGCTTCTACATTTGAAATGTCTTTATCAGAGTGTCATTACCTTGTGTAGCAGTTAACAACTCCCAGTTCCATCACTGGTAATTTGTGGTTTTCTGTGTACCTCAGGCCTCCTACCTAATCCATTAAGAAAATATTCCTCCCCCTAAGACACACATCCTTTTGTTTATTTTTACCTTCTCCTGCCTGGTCAGCCCACACTGTCACTATTATGTGGCCCAGGAAGACACAGAGAGAGTTCCCTGGGTGACAAGTCGTCAACTTAAAGGACATTTGAATAAATTGGGTGAACACAGGCTGTCCTCCCCTTAACCTTAGTTGCACCTTCCTGTCTCCAATCCCCTTCCCCAAAGTCTTTGAGTGGACCAAGGGGATACAACAGCTTAGAGGCAGGCACCAGTGAACCTGAAAATGTAGAATGGCATGCCCTTCAGCAGAAGAATTACAAGTTCTCTACAAGTGGCATCTAAAACTTGAGTCACTACCTCCTACAATTAGCCCTACAGCACAGGGTAGTTAAGAAGATTAATTAAAACCATTTGGTCAAGTCTTCCTTAGTGAATCCTTCAGAAATATGCTAGAGTCATAAAGTAGAATAAAACAACCCTCATA